AAATGAAGATAAAATTTAAAAAATAAAGTTATATAGGACGACGAGTTAAAAAATAACGTTATATAGGGAATAAATTTTAAAAAATAAAGTTATATAGGATATACGAGTTAAAAAAAATAAAAAATAATATATATGTAATGTAAGTATAATATATACCTGAAAACTAATCCCATTTTTAAAATTTTAAGATTGTAAAATATTATTTTCTAAAATATATTTTGTTACTTCTGGATCACACATTTCTTGCCAGTTGTTATTGTTTTGTCTTATCAATGTTCTAATATCAGAAGAACTAATTGTGCTATTATGATCAATAAGAGTTATGTTATTTGCAAGATTTTCCCAATTTTCCTTATATAATTCACATAAAAAATCTTTACATGCATTTTTCCATTTATTAATTCTTTCATTATCAAAATATCTTTCAAAGATCATAATTTCAGAATCTTTCAAATTTTCTACATTGTTATCAAATATTTCATCTGATCCACAAACAAATATTATCTTCATATTTAGTTGTTTTTCTTTTAAAAGTTTGTTGATTAGTTGGTTAGCATTTAAAAATGTTGTTAATCTTGTAATAACTTCATAACAATTAACAACAACAATTTCTGAATGTAATGCTTCCCATGTATCAATTTCAATCCAAGAGGATTTTGCTGTTATTTTTTCTATCATATCTTTTCTTTGTTGAAAAGGTGTTCTTTCTTCTTTTTTGTATTTTCCATTAATACAATTTTCAGAGGATGGAGAAATATAACCAGCAACTATTTCATATTTTTTTTCCAAAAGTTGTTTGGCATTTTCAAGTATTTCAATATGTTGTTTATGAATGGGATTAAAATTCCCACACATTAAGATAATAGCAGGAGGTTTTGAGAACTCATTAGAAAGGTTTTTTAATAATTTTTCTATAGATGTAAATTCAATTTCTTTGGAACTCATTATTCATTGCAACTTAAAATTTTATTAAAAAAAAATAGTAAAATTTAAAATTTTTTACGTAAATTTATAATATATAAAATGATGTAATTTTTATTATATAATTATTAAAAACCAATAATAAGAATTAAAAAAAATCTTGTATAAACTGGTAAGAGCAGTCTATGCGTAGATAAATATAAAATTAAATACATAGAAATATACGTAGCACGCATATAGATTACGTACGTACGTATGTACAACGTCGAAGCTAAATGCTAAATCCTCATCGATATATTCCATTTTGATATTTGTCACCCAATTTAAACAATAAAAGTGTCTAGCTATTGTAAATTATTTATGAATATCTCTATCTATTTTTACTTACTATACTAATTTATAATACTAATTTATGATAATTGTTTCCCGTTAACGAGCATCCCTAATCTATGGCTTTAGCACGACCTATGGCTTGGATACACGGATTGCCGTACAAACCAGTTATATTCTAGTACATATTTACGTACGTACGTACGTAACAATATTATTAAAACGTCACATGAAAAATCTATATAAACATTTGAGATCGTACTATGCATTATAGTTTTAAATGTTTATCATTATAATATCATCGTCTGTTCGTCGTTTGAAAATATAATAAAGCTGTCTGTTAATTTAACATAATAGACAGAAACGGCATTTATAATTACAATTTCCTTAAAAATTAAGAATTATATATTTCATAAATGCGTAAGTCGGATAAATTTTTTAATTCAACATTCTAATCATTAAATATCCGACTTTTGGGTGTAAAAGAGAACAATATTAATATTATAACAATATAAAACCTTAAGTGATTAAAGTGCTGAATTTTTTTTTGTTTTCACAACATATTGTTGTTAATAAGAATTAATTGTGAGTTAAGTCAAAATCTCGGAAGCACTTTAAGATGGATTTTATTTTAGTAATGTCTAAA